GTGGGGGTGTCAGTCAGGGGACAGGTGAGGGGGTGTCAGGTAGGGAACAAGTGGGGGTGTCAGGCAGGGGACAGGTAAGGGGGTGTCTGGCAGGGAATAGGTGGGGAGTGTCAGGCAGGGGACAAGTGTGTGGGGGTGTCTGGCAGGGGACAGGTGTGTATGGGGTTTCTGCCAGGGGACAGGTGGGGGGTATCAGGCAGGGGACAGGTGTGTGGGGGTGTCTGGCAGGGGACAGGTGGGGGGTGTCAGAGGACAGGTGGAGGTGTCAGGGGACAGGTGGGGGATGTCAGGCAGGGAACAGGTGAGGAGGGAGTATCTGGCAGGGGACATGTGGGGGTATCAGGCAGGGAACAGGTGGTGGGGGTGTCAGGCAGGTAACAGGTGGGGGGAGTCAGGCAGGGAACAGATGGTGGGGGTGTCAGGAAGGCGACAGGTGGGGGTTGTCAGGGGACAGGTGGGGGGTATCAGGCAGGGGACAGGTGGGGGTGTCAGGGGACAGGTCAGGGTGTCCGGCAGGGAACAGGTGGGGGGTGTCAAAGGACAGGTATGTGCAGCTCCTGTCTCCTCCAAGCTGCACAGGACTCCACACTTCTCAGAAAGTGCTGCCCAGCACCAGAGGACGCAGCCTTCCTGCTCTTCTGAAGGGGCGCTGATGTCCAGGTGCTGTCGCCACTGGATTCTCCCTCCTGTTCTTACCATAAATCTCCCTCCTTTCTGGCATTTACCAGGCGGTCGGCAGGCCCACGGGGCAGTGAGGACAAGGCTGGCCTCTGAGCTGCCTGAGCCTTTCTGGACACTGAGGAATGTCCAGGCCTAAACTCAGAGCCCTCTCCCCAAGCAGGAACCCGAAAAGAGGAGGGTCAGGCAGGGTGCAGCAGCTGCCCAGGAGTCTCAGGGAGCTGGCATTCTACACACCTCCTCCCAAGAGCACCTCTGTCTACACTCACATCTGAGCCTTGGGGGCCACGTGGTATCCGTCATGTACCCAAACTAAGTGACACTAGAGCAAGAGGTAGGCATGCGTGGGAAGCAGCCCAAAGCACCTCCACGAGAAGGCTCCAGACCTCAGGGCAGCAGGACAACGATCCTCAGCGGGGAAACCAAAGCAGACGAAGTCCGCAGGAGAGGCACTTGCAGCTCTCTATGGGCTCTTGTCCAGGCTGGGAGGCAACCAGCCCAGGTAGTGACCACCTCTGTTGGCAGGCAGGGGTCACTCTGGAAAGCACTTCAGGGAACAGGATGTGTTCCTCAGCTTTGCAGGGCTGTGACAGTCCCCAACCCTTGAGCTGGATTTTAACACATACAAAGGTCCTACCCAAGGGCAAAGGTGGGGCCTCGTCTCCAGCTGCCAGAGAAGTCCCAGGGTCACCTGTGTTCCCAGGGCCACCCAAGCCCACCCATACTTTCTCCTCTTTCCGTACGTCTGTGTCCTTAGGAGCTCAATGATCCTTGTGCAGAATCACAGTGCCTGTTACTCCTAGCCCAGCTGGCCAACCAGGAGAAGAACCATGGACAAGCTAAGAGGATGATCGAGAAGGCGCAGTGCCTGGGCGGAAGTGAGGAGTTTTGGTACAATTTGACCCTGACTCTGGCCAACGCCGTCTTGTCCTCAGAAGACAATGGGAGAGAAGCTGCGGTGAGAAGATGCAGGGTGCAGCAGCCTTGGTGCCCGGCGAGGGGCGGCTCGGTCCCTGGCCCTGCTGAGCAGCACAGTGACACCATGGCTGGTTGTCCCCAGGCTTGCCGACTATATAAGAAGCTCATAGATGCCTTCAGCCACCTCCAGAAAGACAGGCCTAACCGAGTACACACACTGAAGTTCTTCACCATGGACCTGGAAGCCAGGTAGAGGGCCAGCTCCCAGGAGGGCACTGGCTACCTTCCTGCCTGGGCCACAACCCCTTTCTTCAGTCTCCAGGATCTCAAGGTCCCGCAGCCTGGCTTGGGGAGGTGCTGTGGGCAGAGTGCGCAGGGGTGCTCCCTCCGGCTTGGGCGTGGGCTTCTCCCTGCCCCAGAAGCCTCTCTCAGGCTCAGCCAGTGGTGGTGGGCGACTGGAGCCTCCCTCTGTCTCTGAGCAGAATCATGGGCTCTCGGTCTCTGTGAGAAGCCGCGGCTTCTGACTCACGGACCACAGCAGTGGGGATTCTCTTGGCTTTATCTGCTTCTGCTTGCTCTCCGTGCAGTACTCATTGCAGCAGAAGGAGCTGCCCGCAGCTGTCCTGTGCATGCACCTGAGTCCCACTGGCAGTGTCCCTTCAGTCTAGTCTGAGACCTTTGGCAATGGTGTTCTGTTAACTTCTAAGTGACTTAGGGACATGGTTTTAGTTGCCAAATAGATATCATGTCTGAAGCAGGACTGTTAGTCTCACTTCATTGTGTCTGACCCAGGAATGGGACTGCATGACTTGCAGTGTGTGAGAAAGGCTGAAGGTGTTTGACTAAGTCTCCCTGTGCAGACACTGGAGAGTGAGAGCATCACCACGGTCCTGGGCTTTTGATTCTAGACAGAGACCTCAAAGCTAAATACCTGGACAGAACTATGTCCCCACAGGAGCATGAGCCCCTTCTGTCCCTGCAGATGCATGAGCACCCTCTGTCCCTGCAGATGCATGAGCCCCCTTTGTCCCCACAGATGCATGAGCACCTTCTGTCTCCACAGGAGCATAAGCTCCTCTGTCCCCGCAGGAGCATGAGCCTCCTCTGTTCCTGTAGGATCATGAGCCCCCTCTGTCCCTGCAGATGCATGAGCCCCCTCTGTCCCTGCAGGATCATGAACCTTCGGATCCAAATCACCCAGAACTCAGAGCACAGCAAACTTCCTGACTGCTGGGTTTTGTTCAAGGAGATGGATGATCAACTGCTGAAAATTGAAGAAGACTTTATTAAGTATGGCTATGAGGAGCATTGTGTCAATATAAAACTACAGCGTGCAAAGATAAAGAGGTGAGGGCCTTGTTCCCAATTCTACCTGTGGTGGAGCACCCCAGGGCCTTGCTGCCCACAGCAGGCCCAGCCGCAGCCTTTGCCCCTTCATGGAGGATATCCACTGCCTCCCTCCTGAGCCCTCATTCATCCCTGTCCCTCTCCCTGCAGTCCCATGGGGTCCTGGGCAGCTCCTCCCTCTGTCCTGGCCCACCTGTCTGGAGTCACACTTTGCTCTCCTCCTGCTCCTGTCCCACCGAGGTGGGGCACCCTGAAGACATGCACACGTCCACAGACTCCACTGTGTTCACACCCACACACACCCCGTTCCCAGGGCAGGACCCACTCCTCCAGCAAGGCCTGGGTGGATGCTCTACCAACCTTGGATGCCCACGTGTCCATCCCATGCAAGTGCTGTGCAGGTGCTGTGGGGGACAACTGATCACCTTGCCTGGTGCTGTGGGATGCTCCCCAGACGTCTCCTGGGCAGACCCCCGGTTTGTAGGCAGAGGGTCAGACTGCAGGCCACATCATTCCAGCAGCTCACCTTAGCTTTGAAATGTTCTGAGAAGGCTTCACAGTAAGTGTCTCATTAAGTGCCCTCAGTGCTGACGCAGTGAGCAGCTCCGGCATGCAGAGATGAAGCACTCCACACTCACTGGTACCAGAGGTGCACGTTTAACCTGTCTGTTCCTAATTCCACCTTCATGTCTTATAAAGGTTTTGTGCCCAAAATGAGACAGATAGAGAACAAAAAGTCACACATTACTTGGAGGCACATGACCTGATCCAGAAAGCCGTGGCTGCAGAGGAAGAGCTGTTTCATAGGATCCGAGGTTTGCTGGCCCTTCAGGAGGTGAGTGGCCAGGCTCTGTGAGCACCGCCGGCCATCTGCATGCTCACTCCCCTAGTCTTCTGTGTGAGGAGCAGCCATGACTAGGTTCACACTCTCATTACACAACCAGAGCACAGACAGAACCCATGAGGCCTGCTCTGCCAGAACGCTGAGCATTAACACGGCAAACCACAGCCCTGAGCCACAGCCATGGCTACCCAAGTTCAGGTGATAGAGTTGAGAGCTGAGAAGCAGGCAGCCAGACCCTGTGGGATGGAGCCCCAGGAAGGAGAGTGCTGCACCTAGGTGGTCAGGTGCCCAGCATGTGCAGCTGAGCCTGGTCAGCCCAGTTGCTCAAGCTTGGGCAGAGCGGCCTGGAGGATTGTAGGAACAGGGCAGAAGCAGTGCCTGCTCTCTGCAGCCCCCTGAGAAACGGCAGCAGCCTGGGGTACTGGGCGAGGGCAGAGAGGGCCTGCCCTGAGCAGTGGCCAGGTCATGTAAGGAGGCAAAACCACTGCACACCTGCCAGAAAGCACATGGACCCAAGGACAGAGAGGTTGGGAAGTATCTCAAGCCAGCACTGACCCAGGAAAAGTGGGGTGGCTGCAACTGGTCAGATAAGTGGGTCCAGGGAAGCTGCTCCCCTGCCCTGCACGGGACTAGGCAGGAAGACCTGGCTCTCCAGACACTCGTGTGCCTGGCAGGAACACACCAAAGGTGACCTACTCCAGGGTCCCCAGCACTTCCCCTTCCCCTCCTCCTACCTGCCCCCCTCTGCTCTCTGGTCTTCCTTCCCTTTATTTATTGTTCCTAAATTGGTGCATTAGGCTTAGGCATAAAGGGCCTCCACTGTGATGTGTCCACACGTCCACACACAGCCTCATTGGGCCAGTGGCCTCCTGCTGTCCCTCCTCTCTCCCCCTCAACCCCCACCCCCTACTCCACTCTTCCTCCTCCTGTTTTCATGAGATTCCTCCTCCTTTTATTTAAATTCCTTTTCTCTAGCTTTCACATTTGACTCTCAACTTTTCGGATCTGCTGAGTTCCATCCATTTGCCAGCAAATGCCATGATTTCATTCTTCTATTTAACTGATAGAATTCCATTGTGTATATGCTCCACATTTTATTAGCCCATGGAGGTAGGCACTGAGGTTCCCTAACTTGGTGATTGTGGGTGGCACTGTATAAACGTGAGAATGTAGTGTCACTATAGTGACTCTTTTGGATAAATACCAAAGAGGGGGATAGCTGGGTCATATGCTAGTTCCATTCCAGATTTTTTGAGGAATCTCCATGCTACTTTCCAAAGTGGCTGATTTTCTAAAAAAAAAAATTAAGTAAAACCTGACTTTTTAAAATTACAATGAAGGCAGAGACAAATCTATGATTATGGTGAAAAATTTCAATTTCCTCTCAATCATTAGTGGAATGAGTAGGAAGAAAATGAGCAAAGGACTGGAGGATCTGAATCAGTCAGTCAATAGGCTCTGACAGCTCTTTATAAAGTATCCCACCCAACCAACAACAGTGGATGACCTTCTCTCACGTGCTCAAAGAACCTTCAACACAGACTATATTCTGTACCATGAAACAAGTCTCAATGAAGTCAAAGGATTTAAGTCAGACAAAGCCTGCACTGGCACCACAGTGGAGTTAAAATTGAAATGGATGGATCCACAGTTACTGGAAGCAGACTAGGGGGTGTGGGGGGTGCAATGAGGAAGGTGAAGGCTGACCTGGGGGACAAGGCCTTTCCCAGGAGGGATGAACATGTTCAGGAACAAGAGCTGAAGCTTGCACCATGTGGTGGCCCCTGATTGTACACTTTAAAATGGTTGATTTTATGTTATATACTTTTTACCTCAATTCAAAAAATCAAAAGCTATATATGTGGGAAGCCCCAAATAGTTGGAAATTAAAAAGCCTACACTCATACAGCTATGGGCCACAGAAGAAATCAAAAGGGAAAGTGTTTGAATTCAAGGAAAAAATGTCCATCATTGCAAAGATGTTTCTGGCGCAGTCCTGGGCAGGGACCTGGGGTTTGCAGCAGTAAGCACCTGCAAAAAGAAAAAAAGATCAGATCTCAGTCCACTCTCTACCTTAACAAGTAAAGAGCAAACTAAACCCAAATGAGTAGAAGAATAGAAATTAAAAGGTCAGAGTGGAAATCAGTGAATTAGAAAACAGAAAAGAGGAAGCCTACCAAGCCAAAGCTGGTTCTTGGAAGGACCAATAAGTTAATATACTTCTAGTCAATTTGATCCGACAAAAAAGAAAGGACATATGTAGCCAATATCAAAAAGGAGGCAACGTTGCCACCAACTCCACAGAGAGTGAAAGCATAGAAAGGGAATGTCATGAACTGGCAACTCAGGTGAGCAGACTCCTTTAAAGCATGACCCACCAAGTCCCTGGAAGAAAGAGGTGACTGACAGCTCTGTGCCCAGGGATCTCATCTGCATTGGGAGTACTCTCACAGAGGAGAAGCCAGGCTCAGGTGACTCTATGATGAATTCTACCAAATATGCAAGAAAAATAATACCAGCTCTGCACAGATCCTTCCAGAAAGTAGAAAAAGAGGGCATACATCCCAACTTTTCTACAAGTCTACTATTGCCCTGATTCCAAAATATGACAAAGACATTCAAACAACAACAACAACAAAATTGATATTTCTCATGAATAAAAGTACAAAAAAGGGCTGGGGATGTGGCTCAAGCGGTAATGTGCTCGCCTGGAATGCGTGCAGCCCGGGTTCGATCCTCAGCACCACATACAAACAAAGATGTTGTGTCCACTGAAAACTAAAAAATAAATATTAAAAAAAAATTTTAAAAAAAAGTACAAAAAAATCCTAAATAAAAATCTAGAAAATTAAATCCAACAACATATTAAAAAGGTAATACATCATAACCAAGTTAGGGTTATCTCAGGAATAATTTTACATTTAAAAAATGTGGTTCAGCATATTTTTTGACCCAATAAATAAAAACCATATGATGCAGGAATATTGTTTGACAAAGCCAGGCGCTGTGGAGCATGCCTGTAATCCCAGCAGCTCAGGAGGCTGAGGCAGGAGGATGGCGAGTTCAAAGCCAGCCTTAACAAAAGCGAGGCACTAAGCAGCTCAGTGAGACTCTAAATAAAATACAAACTTGGGCTGGGGATGTGGCTCAGTGGTCAAGTGCCCCTGAGTTCAATCCAAGGTACCCCCCACACACATACACACAAAAATCCATATACAGAAGAGGGAAATTCCCTCAACCCAAGGAAAGGTATCTATTAACAAACTATAGCTAAAGTCATCCTTATTGACAAAATACTGAATGTTTCCCTCTTTTAATTAGGACTATTGCTAGGAAGTATCTTTGTACCACTTTTATCCAGTATTATTTAGGAAATTCTAGCCAATGCAATAAGTCAAGAAAAAGACAGTAAAAGGATCCAGCTTGGGTAGGAAGAAGCTTGACAGTAACATGATGGTATAGAAAATTATTTGCAATGTACTGATTAAACATTAAAGCTACTAGTAAAGCTAAATTAAAGCTCATAAGCAAATTAAGTTAAAGCTAACCAATGAGTTTAATCAGGTCACAAGACAGAAGAATAATATGTAAAAATCAATCGTATGTTTCTATGAACTAGGAACTATCAATCAGGTAGTAAAAATTAAAAAATAGTATCATTTGTGGTAGCATTAAAAAATGAAATTTTACCCCCAAAATGTGAAAATTTGTGCCCTAAGAACTACAAAGCATTGTTGAGAAAAATTAAAAGACCTAAGTGAATGAAGAACCATATGGTTCATGGATCAGAACAGTTAATTGCTAGGATGTCAATTCTCCCTACATTATCTGCAGAATTTTTAATAGAAATAGAATGATATTAGATTTTATATGGAAATGCAAAAGGCCTTACACAGCCAACACAACTTTGGAAAAGAACAGTATTAGACATCTAATGCTCCTTGATTTTAAGTCCTGTTATAGAGTTACAGGAATTGAGAGTATATTTTTAGAGTAAGAGCAGGCCAACAGATCAATCTGGTGCACAGAGACACCAGAGACTGACTCCCAACAGAGGAGCCCAAGCTGTCCACAGCAGGAAGGACAGTGTTTAAATGGTGCTAGAATAACTGGAAGCATAAGTCCAGAAAGCGGAAGTCCAAGTCCTACCTCATACTGCATGTAAGAGTCAGCTCAAAATGGCCTGTGGTCCTAGGCAGAAGACCTAGAGTCATAAAACATCTAGAAGAACACAGAAAACACCTCTGTGGCCTCAGATTTGGCCCACTTTTTTTTGGGGGGGGATACTAGGTGTTGAACCCAGATGCACTTTACCACTCAATCACAACCCCAGTCATATATATATATATATATATATATATATAATTTTTTTTTTAATTTTGGTACAGGTTCTCACTAAGTTGCTAAGGGTTTCCCTAAGTTGCCAGCCTCAAATTTGTGATCCTCCAGTCTCAGCCTCCTGAGTTCCTAGGATTACAAGTGTGCACTGCCACACCTGATTGAAGATTTCTTTTATTTGACACCCAAAGCATGATTCATAAAAGAATAAATTGAAAAACTGGACTTTTCTTCAAAAGATACTGTTAAAGAATGATGAAAAGAGAAGCCGCAGATGGGCAGGAGTGGAGTATTTGCAAAGCGTATCCAGAGTATATGAAGAACTTTCAAAAGCTAATTAAGAAAACATGTAGCCCCATCGAAAATAAGTGAAAATAGGGCTGGGGATAGAGCTCAGATGGTAAAGTGCTTGCCTCTCGGGCACAAGGCCTGGGTTCAAACCCCAGCATCACAAAAAAAGGGAGATATTTGAACAATTTAGACATCTCCTCTAAGGAACTGTATAGATGATAAATAAGCTCATGGAAGACAAGCATCGTCAGCCAGTTAGAGAATCCAGGTCACCACGGGGAGAACCGTGCGCTGTGAGGATGGTGGCAGGAGTGTGGGGAGGCTGGAGCCCTCAGGCCGTGAGAATGGGAGCTGAAGGACTGCTTTGGAAGTCCTGAGAGGAGTGAAACTCGGGCCGCCGCGGGGTGGCCTGGCACCCCACCCCAGGCATGCCCTCCGGTCCCGGAGAGAATGTGCCCATCCAGAGGAACACCGGTGTGCCGTGCTCGCGGCAGCTGGGTTCTAGTAGCCCACACAGTGGGGTCGACTGACTCGGAACGTAATAAGCATGTGGCCACAGCACAGAGAGACCTAGAATGGCTGCACCAAGATGGGTGGTACACCAGAGGGTGGTACACCAGAGGGTGGTACACCAGAGGTACAGAGGCAGCTCACTGAAAGCCCCAGGGGTTGCCTAGGAGAGAGGCTCAGGAGGCAGTGGCATGTGGGGTGGCCAGGGCCAGGGACATGGAAGGGCACCTTTGTGGCCTCGGTGGTGGTGGTTTGAGTGTGCATGTCACACTTGAGATGCTCACAGCTTCGTTCTGTCCCTTAGCGCTGTTGAAGTGTGGGCTCGGGAGCACTGAAAGTGCCCGGTGCCCTGACGCCCGCCTGGCTCTGTCAGCTGCAGAACACCAACACCCCTCTGATGAGGAAGCTGGCCCGCCACAAGCTCAGCCTGGTGGAGGTGTCCCTGGACATGCTGCAGCTTATGTGGGAGGAGGGGCTGGAGCAGCTGGAGCCACGGTCCCTGGAGAAGCTGCTTGAGACCTACCTGCAGAGCACCAGCGACTACACGTCCACCGACCTGGTGACCACACAGCCCCGCACACATCTCCTCAGGGGCTGCCTGGGCTGGGCCACCCTCCATCTAGTCACACCTAGGGCACCCTTGGCTCTAGTGGGGACCCCAGCCAGCCCTGCACAGCTGTGAGCTCCCAGCCTGGGGAGGAGAGCCGTCATCTGGTCACTTGAGGGCTCACCTGGCTAAGTAGAGCAGGTGCTCCCTGTGCCACCTCAGGGTTGTCCCCCAGGTCTTGAGACTAATGGTGTGATAGCGCTGGGCTTCAGCTGAGTGGCCAGTGGGCTGCAGAGGGACAGTGGAGGGCCACACTGCACTTAAAAAGACCCAGAGGCAGGCTGGGGTGTGGCTCAGGGGTACAGGCTTGACCAGCAGCACAAGGCCCCCGTTTCAGCCCCAGTACCGCAAAAGCAAAAACAAAAAATGAATTGAATATGCAAGATATTTGGAAGGAAATATGAACCCTTCCATTTTACATTTGCTTAGATATCATGAAATATGAATCAAACCAATTTGACATAAATACAAATGAACCAAAGACAGCCCTGAAATTGAACTTGATATTCCAGTGAGCTGCCAGTCAAGGTTATATAAGAACACAGTTTGGCCTTCCCACACCTAAGCCCTGGAGACCCCCACCCCACCTCCCAGGGCCTGTTAAGGGCTGGTGGGCTGCGCCATGTGGTGGGCAGGTAGAGGCCGCAGAGAGGCCCCTGGTCTTGACAAAGCCTCTCCTCCCCCTGAAGCAATGGTTCATGCTGAAGCGCACCCTGGCCCACTCGGTGCTGGCACAGCTGGAGAGCCTGCAGCCACTGAGCGCTGGCTGCGTGGAGATCCGTGCCCAGCTCCTGGGCCTGGCCGGGAGGGCCCTGCACCTGCTGGCCATGCAGGCAGACCCTCTTCGCCCCGACTTGTGCTGGGAAGACGGCTTCTCGGTAGGTGATCCCGCTTCCCAGTCCAGGCTCCGCAGTAGACCTGGGGTGAGATGACGGAAGGTCTGCCCTGGTGTCTCCCCACCTCAGTCTGGTCACACACAGGCCCCTGGGAGCTTGAGAAGCACCCCACACACACCCCTCAGGTCATTCTAACGGTTACATTGTAGCCCCTGGCCCTCTACCCACATGCACCACCCAGGGAGCCAAACCAAAACTCAGCTCCCATTGCGCCCGTGGGCCCAGGCCCCTCCAAGAAGGGCTGTGAGGACCTTTCACTTGAAACCCCCAGGGCCGGGGCGAGGCCGCTCTCCAGGGCAGGACCGATCCCTGGGGTAGGGGGGCTAGTCTACTCCCCAGGGCAGGGCTGCTTCCCCAGGCTGGTGCTTGGGAACAGCCTACACACTCAGGACCCCAGGGACGGCCCCGAACGCACCAGGTACCCTCCCAAGAGCCCACACAGAGGTGGCTCCTCCTCCAGCATGGCAGCCCAGGGCACAAGCCAGGGTTTCCCGCTGACCGGCTCCTGAAGAACACCTCTTCCTGCCCAGAGCACACTGTGTCCACCAGGCTGAGCACTAGTGCAAATCCTGGCAGGAGACCGTGAGCCTGGTGATCCCCGAGCCCGTTTGTCCTGCGTCCTAAGGGTGGACTGATGGAGCTTTGGCTCTCCACTCACCAGTGTTCATGAGCACCTACCCAGGTGCCTCTGAGCATGGTCTGTGTGAGCATGTTAACCACCCTGGCCCACAGAGGCTGTCCCCAGAGATGCATCAACCTGCACATGGGGCCACCAGGCCCCATGAAACACACCTCTCCACCCCAGGCCCAGTCTCACCTTACCTGTTCCTTCCTCCTGGCTGCTGGGCCTCTGGGGAAAGTCGGAGTCGTCTCTGGCCTCCTTCTCCTCTTCCAGGAGGCACCCCTCCTCGGAGCTCTGCTGGGGCCAAGTCTCCAGGTCTGCCCTGGGACCATTTCACTCTCTGTTTCCTAAGCTCCGTGGGATTCCTGGCCAACGCGGGGGGTGATTCTGAGCGTGCTGTCCACAGGCCTCATCGTCACTGATTTCCAGTCTGATGGTTGTGTTTGGAAACTGGGCCGGGGATCCCAGTCTCCTGGGTTGGCTGAGGCTGTGTGGCCCAGTGCTGGTGGGTCTGGTGGACATTCTGCTCGCTCGGGCATCAGTGGGGCAGCAGGCTCTGGCTGTCTCTAGACCAAGGCCACCTGGGCCCTGCACAGCCTCTGGATTCCCCTCTACCTGACCCCCAGGGACTGAGACAGTCTGCAGTGTCCCACTAGGACTGTGACCCTGGGCTACACACATCCAGGGCTCACCATCAGCCCCAGTTCCCTGGCCACTCTCCCTTGACCTGCCCTTCCCCTTCCCTTCCTTCTGTTTGTTTCCTGGCCAGACTGAGCTCCCAGAGCACAGGTGGGCACCTCAGCTTGGTGCTGCCACGCCAGCCTGATGCCTCTGTCCCAAGACCAGGGTGCTTGGTCTCCCTGAGTGCCACCTCCCCACCTGGTGGCAGCTGGCAATCAGCTCAGGCCCTCAGACCAAAACCTTCCCAAGTCCACTAAATCAGGCTTGGACAAGGGCAGGCAGGCTTCGGGCGGTGGAAGGCCAGAACTCAGTCTACAGTGGCCCTGGGGACCCCTGCTGACCAAGCAGGAATCCACAGTGCCCTCTGCCTCCTGCTGTGTGCTTTGTAGGTGGGCGCTAAGCTGAGCAGGCTCCGATCTCTAGAGCAAGAAGCAGAGAACAAGAGTGCCAAGGCCTTTCTCAGGGACCTGCCAGCCCTCGGAGCAGCCCCTGAGGGGAACTGCAAAAAGGGCGAGAGTCTGAGGGTATGTGCATTACTGCTGCCCCCCAGTGGCCTCTGTCCGCACAGCACTGAGCCTGAGCCCTTTCTACCTGCAGAGGAGGATGGTGCTGGCCCAGAGGTACCTGGCCCAGACCTCTGAGGTGCTGCTGCAGTGCCTGCAGGTAGCCCTGGACAGAGGCCTCCTGGGCATCGCAGCTGCCGCCAGCCTAGAGATGGTGGAATGCATCGGCACCCTGGACCCGGTGGCCACCTGCCAGTTCCTGGCACTGTCTCAGGTATGGCTCTGCCCTGTGTGTCTGCAGCTCAGAGTATGGAAGGCATCCCCCAGCACCCAGGGGCCCCTTCTGGCTGGGACTGTCATCGTGGGAATTGGCTCCATTAGAGAGAAGAGCTGCAGGCCAATGGGCCTGGCCACAGCCATCGGCTGGAAGGAGGCTGGGCCTGAAGCTGCAGAGTCCAGCCACAGATGCTTGGGGCTCAAGCACACTCTGAGCTCCCCTCAGTCCCCACAGTGGGCCAGCACAGACACCAGAGAGCATGGCCCGGAGAGGCGAGGCTGTCGGGGGAGTGTGCCACACAGTCTGACTGCCCTCTGTCCAGCCCAGTGAGCCTCCCCCCACAGCACCTGGCTGATCTTTTCCAGAGCTGCACAGCCTCCGAGGTCATGCGGGGCATCCTGTCCACAGCCGCCGCCAACACCAGCAGCTCCCAGCTGGCAGCCCTGCTGCAGCTCTGGCACCAGCTACAGCTACAAGAGAAGACTTCCACCAGCCTGCTCGCCAGCGTGGAGCAGAGGCTGGCCACCATATCCAAGGTGATCTCCTGCACCCTGCAGACCCCCTCCCGTCTGCCCTAGTGCCAAGAGGGCAGCTTTAGATCATGCAGGCTCAGGCCCAGGTTCTGCTTCTGGCTTCAGGCTGTGTGGCTCTGGGAGGCCTCTCTACCTCTCTGAGCCTTGTGGCCTTCTGGCCTTGTGGGATGGTGACCCCTCACTCTGAAGGCGCTGCGAGTGCTAGGGTGGGGAAGGTTTTGATCTAGGTACTCTACCGGGGTCTGCGGGACCCCTGCTTGCTCAGAACCCTGTGGCCGCACTGTGCTGCCTTTCTGTTACTCACACCACAGCTTAACCCGAGCATTGAGAGGGAAAAAGTGAACTTCCACCTCCTGGACACCAGTGGGAGCACTGGCCAGGTCCTCCTGGCCTCTTCCTACTGACTGCTTCCAGCTCCCTCCATCCACTCTTCTTAGGAGAGTTGGGGCTAGATTTCTCTGCTGATGGGGTCAAAGGAACCTCCTGTTCACTGGAGGATGTGGGGCAGCATCCCTGCCCCCCCATAAGGACCAGGGCATTTCCAGTACTTCCTATCCCTACTGAGACAACGTCTTCAGGTGTTACCAAGAGGAGCAAATCGTCCCTCCAAGAACCAGTGCCTTCAGCCCAAAACGGAAACCCAGCCTCCTGGATCCAGGAGGGAGACGGGAACAGAGGCTGGAGGTCTGAGGCTGGCCCAGTCCTGAGAGCAGAGAAAGTGAGTGAGCAAGGAGGCTGGACCTGAGTGAGCTACTGGACGCCAGCACACCAGCCAGGGGCGGGCCCCATGCTGCTGCTGCCAGCCAGGCCCTGGGACTGGGGATAGGGCAGTGCTCACCTCGTGGGGAAGGCGGGGACAAGGTCATGGCATCCACAGTGTGGAGCAAGGGGCCATAGCACGGAAGAGCACAGACCTGGGACAGAGCGGAGGAGGGCTCCGTCCTAGGTAAGGCAACGGCCACCGCCACAGAGCCAGTGCGTAGTCCCAGCTGTGGCAGTATTGAGAAGTAGCTAAGCTGAAATGACAACAGAAAGTGAGCCAAGCGTCCATCTTCAGTCCCAGGTCGCTGGCTAGGACAGACTCAACAAAGAGTACATCAGCACAGCCCCCGGGGGTGGAAAACCAGGCTGTGGGTCCCACGGGGTCACGAGACACCAGCTGGGGGACCCAGCAGTGTCCAGGGCTTACTGGAGTCCACCTCAAAGCTTCTGGAAGGCAGTGACCCGGGAAACTGAGTGGAGACCTTGGGTTCCAGCCGTCTCCAGGACCCTCTGGTCCCACAAGCATTCATAGAGGCCACCACAGATGGAGAGTCAGATGTGCAGGTTTCAGGAACAGAATGGCAGCCTCAGCTTGGACTGGGGGCTGGAATACAGACAGGAGAAGGCCCAGCAGGAGAGGAGGCTTGGGGACAAAGGGCCCAGCACATGCTCTCGCTGCATCGTCACCAGAGCACAGGGTGCACAGGCTGGAAGCCAAGAGCCTCTAAAGCTGGGGAGCATGGGCTTCCGACCCCCACCAACCCCCCACTGGATGACACCAGAAAATCACCCTGGGCACCTGGGAGCAGAGAGCACAGAGAGAGCCCTCAGGCAGCAGAGAGACCTGCACGCCTCCACGGCTGGAGAAGAGCGGCCGGTCCCGGATATGGAGGCTCAGAATGAAGGCGAATAAGGGCATGTTCAGATCCTTGTAATAAAAATGCAACTGGACAATAAAACAAACAAACAAAAAAAGCTGAAAGGAGGCTCAGGCAGGGAGGAATACCCAGACAGAAGCAGAAATCGGCAAGAGGGGATGGAGAAGGGGCCAGGGCGGAGTGCTGCAGCCACAGTGGGAGGCTGCACAGTCCCAGAAGAGCAGACAGTTTAAGATCCAGCCACCACAGCCACAGAGATGACTGTTACACCCCGTGGGTGGCACGGACACATGTGTGGCCAGCTCAGTACAATACAACCATTGACAATAGTATTTCATCAGTCCACAAGAGGGCAAAAAAAAATGTAAAAGAGATGGTCCCCGTAGCCAAGGAGAGTTCAGTAGTAGGGGAAAAGCAATATATGGGTAGTTACAATGTAAGTTGACTAGACACTCCACATCCAGGACAAGACAGTCAGACTGGATAAAAGAAAAACAAAGGCCAGGCACAGTGCTCCACACCTGGCAGCCCAGCTCCTAGGGAAGCTGAGCCAGGAGGTTTCGAGCTCAAGGATAGCCTGGGCAACTTGGCAAGGCCCTGTCTCAAAATAAAAAGGGCTGAAGCTGTCCCTCAGTGGCAGACAGCCCTGGGCCCAGTCCTGGGTTTCCTTTTTTTTAGTTGTAGACGGATACAATACCTTTATTTTATTATTTTATTTATTTATGGGGTGTCAAGAATTGAACCCAGTGCTCCACACATGCAAGACAAGCATGCTACCACTGAGCCACAACTCCAGCCCCCTGAGGTTTTTTTTAAAAAAAGAAAAGAAAAAAAATCTATCTGTACATTACTTAAATAGGCACTTTACATATAAGGACACAGAAATGTTGAAAGTAAAAGTGAAAAACACATAAATCACAAAAAGACAAATCAGATGAAAGCAGACGTGGGACAGTGTATCACTAGCACGAGGGGTACTCCTGATGGTGCAGGGGCCAGCCCAACCAGGAGTCACCGTCCACCAAGTACTGTGGTTTTGAAATACACAAAACATGGACAGAAATAAAGGAGTTATGGCAAACCCATGGTCCTAGTGGGACACTGCAGACTGTCTCAGTCCCTGGGGGTCAGGTAGAGGGGAATCCAGAGGCTGTGCAGGGCCCAGGTGGCCTTGGTCTAGAGACAGCCAGAGCCTGCTGCCCCACTGATGCCCGAGCGAGCAGAATGTCCACCAGACCCACCAGCACTGGGCCACACAGCCTCAGCCAACCCAGGAGACTGGGATCCCCGGCCCAGTTTCCAAACACAACCATCAGACTGGAAATCAGTGACGATGAGGCCTGTGGACAGCACGCTCAGAATCACCCCCCGCGTTGGCCAGGAATCCCACGGAGCTTAGGAAACAGAGAGTGAAATGGTCCCAGGGCAGACCTGGAGACTTGGCCCCAGCAGAGCTCCGAGGAGGGGTGCCTCCTGGAAGAGGAGAAGGAGGCCAGAGACGACTCCGACTTTCCCCAGAGGCCCAGCAGCTGGCAGCCACATCCACAGAGCATGGAGGGAGCAGACAGGATGCAGGAAACACTTGTGGAGCAGAGAAAACCAACACTGCAAAGCTGGCCCCCAGAGGAGGGCAGCAAGACTAGTCAACACTGAGACCTATCAAAGGAAAAGGAGAGAAAAGACGGAATTCCAATGTTTGCAACATAAAGACAGGACACCAAAAAGGTAACAAAAAGGACTGTGCACCACATCACCCCAAAATAGAAATGTTTCTTAAAAAAAAATATGTGATGCTCCAGAAAAATAGAAAATATTCAGACAGAAGATCAAATAATAGAACCCATGGTCAACATGATTGTGAGCCTCAACTGTCCTAAAGAGAATATGATTATCAATCAGAATCACCAAGGTATCAATCTGCAAACATTCCTTGTATTTTTATATGCCAGCTACAAACAGTAGTGAAGAATGGAAATTGTGTAAATTATACCTTCTCATTCTCAGTGGCATCAAAAAAAAAAAAAAAGGCAGAAAGTGAGAACGTAGGGAACCATGTAGGAAACCACTCATAGAACCTAGACAATGAAACTGCAAACCCTTCAGGAGGAATGAAGAATGAGAAGTGGAGAGAGGTCCCGTGTCCATGGACGAGAAAGAACAGAGCACATGGAGAGGGTGCCTTGTGTGAGGTTGGTGAAGCGCAAGTAAATGGAGAAGGGCTCCATGATCTTGATTGAGGAACAAGGAAGTAAGCGGAGAGAGGTCCGTGTTCATAGGTGAGGACAAGTGGAACGAATGGAGAGAGGTCCATGTGCCTGGGCTGGAGGCTCCAGGTACTAAGCTACCTGTCCTCTGTGTGGACAAAGGAGACCATTTTCTCCTTCAGCTGCTGCCCTGTCTCTGTTCCCCTGAGCTTTGGTCAGCAAGAATGACCTGGCTGGCCTGGTGTTATCAATACCTCACAGGTGAGCCACAGAGCTGCCCCTCTTGCCCTCCTGGGCTCCCCTTGTGGGGAGCCTGCAGCTGTGCCAGGTCCTGCTCCTGGGAAGGTGACACTCCTTCCCTTGTGGGGAGAGAGAGAAGCACTAACGGCGGAAGGGGAGAAGTGATTGATGGTGTGCACTGAAGGAAAAGCTCCACGGGGCCGTGGAGTGGGACACAGAGGTCTCGGGGCACACCACTGGCTAGGTCCTGTCCTGCCTGCTGAAGGGCAGACATCCCTCCTTGACAAGACAAACACTCAGGCCAAGACTCGGGTTTGACAGAATGTCCTCACAGGCCCAGTGACATTTTTAGTGTATTTGAGTTCATTAGTCTTCAAGGAAATGCAAAATTTAAAACCACATCAGATACCAACAGACACCCACTGGAATAGCTAAATAGAAAATGGGGGCTGAGGACTGGGGTTGTGGTTCAGTGGTAGAGTGCTCGCCTAGCATGTGCGAGGCCTGGGTTCGATTCTCAGCACCACATAAAAATAAATAACTAAAATAAAGGCATTGTATCCAACTACAACTAAAAAATAGATATCAAAAAAAGAAAATGGGGGCTGGCCTCTGACGGTGACTCTTGGTCAGCCTGGCTGAAGGTGGTACCATAATCCCGCTGGAGAACAGGCAGAGCCGGCAGTCCCCAGCAGTTCTGCTGGGTTCTGGGCCCCACAGAAATGCTTCACTGTGCTCCAGAGAACACATGCTGGAGGCCTCTTCATGGCCACCTTCACGGCAGTGGATCAGAGATGTGGCAGCAAAGAGGAGCCACCTGCTTGGAGCTGGACATGAGCCACTGGGCAGAGGGGCCAGCCTGGGCCATCAGAAGTTGCTCTGAAACCCTGGGGAAGGGCCGGCCAGTGAGGCCAGCCATACCATCTGTTCACCTGCCATGGGCATAGCCCATGGAGAAAGAGCCACCTTGCCTTTCAGGTGGGTTTTCTGTGGCATAGTTGAAAAGTTTGGACCTGAAGCTGCAAGCATTCACAGCTGGACTAGGGAGGGCTGCTCACACACAGGACACAGGCCGCCCAGACCCCCTAGCCCAGGTGAGCAGCCCTCTGTCACTACAGGGAAAAGCCAGGGTGCAGAGTCTCTGTCACTCCGGACCCTCAGTGCCCAAGGCCCACAGTACACAGGGTGTAAAGGCCTGGGCACAATGGCAGAAGCCACCCCTGACCACAGTCCAGGGCCCCACAGAGCACCCCAAGGGCTGGGCAAGGGAAGGCCTCCTGCAGGGCCCCAGGGACCACTGTGTGTCTGTGAGTCTGCGTGTGCCTGCACTTCTGTGGTGCAGGAGGCAGAACGGGCCAGGTGCTCCATTGTGTTGTTGCTCACTCAACAAGTGGACAGAATAGGACATTTCTGACTGGCCAGTGGCTTTCCCTGCTGCCCCCTGGTGGTGGCCGTGAGTCACTCCCATTCATGGGAAGGACTTCTGGACCAGTGCTCTGCAGGATGCCTATCGCTATGGTTGCTTCCTGTGGAAAAGCCGTGGAAGCCAGCCCCAGGTCCTCCGTGCATCCTTGCCTCCCCTCACACAGGCCTGGCAGAACCTCTGTGTAACAGAGCAGCATTTCAATCTCCTGCACGAGATTCCACCCACCTACCGTGTCCTCTTCCTGCACCATTCACAGGACAGGTGAGGCCTTGTTCCCTTGGAGAAGCCCACTGGGGAGGTGTGAACCCAGCTGGGACGGCCACTTGCCCCTTCTCTGAGGGGTGGGGCCACCTCTGAGATCCATCCCCTCACGGGGTGTCTGTGCCTGGTCTGGGTGGGCCTAGATTTGAGGACCTGGGGTCACTGTGGAAGTGCAGCAGAGAGCTGGACAGCTGCACAGCCTGCTCTTGCTGGTCTGCACAGAGCATCCCCAGTGGCAGGAGAACCAGCACTGCTGGTTGAGAAGTCCCCCACACTGCTGTGCCTGCTCTGTCTGACACCAGCCCTGGGCCCAGCCTCTGCCCTCCACTCACAACGGGAGGGCACCTGTCGGGGTGTGTGGTTGCAGAACTGGCCCCTTCAGGCTTCCCCAGGACCCACAAGCCTTGACCCCATCTCTTGTGGGGACTCACCTGCACCCCTACATCCTGCCCCAGGACCCGTCTGTACGGCGCTGCCTACGAGAGACCCAAGCACCAGCCCACAGCCAAGGGGAAGGTGCAGGAAGTGGGTGGTGAGTCGGCTTGGACAGGTGCTCTGCAGGTGGGCTGTGGGAAGCCAGCTGAGACACCTTGGGCTGCAGGCCTCTCACTTCCAGGAGGCAAATGCCTGCGCAGTGCCCCACTGGGGCAGCTGTGCCAGGCCAGAGCGGGCGAGGAAGTGTTTCCAGGGGTCTGGAGGAACTGGCTCCACCACCCTGCTCTGCTCTCCCTGCAGCACCTGAAGCCTCCCACCATCTGTTGACCCCTCTTCCTGAGCACCACAGCCTTGCCCCTCCTGTGGCCCCGGGAGGCGGGCAACTCCACAGGGAGGAAGGTCCACCCATCCTGCAGCTCCCTCTGGGGACAGCAGCACTAGGCTGGGTGCCTGCACAGGGAGTCCTTCCCAAGTACTTTGACAAACCTGCCTCCTCACCCTCCCAGGGGCTCTGCTCAGCCCTGGATGGGGACCATGGGTGTGTCTGGGTCTCCACAGGCCACTGCAAGGTCATTCGTGTAACTGTGAATCCAGCTGCCCTCTCAGACCTGTTGGCCAGTGCCCAGCAGTTCTATGAGCAGATCCAGGATCAGATATTCAGTGAGGACACCACCCAGAACACAGGCATGGTGAGGCCCCAGGTC